GAGACTGAAGCTTAAGTAATTATTTAAAAATTAAACAGTCCATTAGAAAAAAATAACTTGTGAAAACGTCGATGTTTTGAGTACTGTGATGCTTTTGATGCTGAGTAGATGCTATGAACAATATTTCATTGACAAAATTTTTTTTGAACTTTTTTAAATTATGTGTTTGGTTAAAAAAAAAATCAACCCTGAGAATATATGAGTGATAAAGAGCTAGAAAAATCTTTAAAGTATTATGACTATTTTTACTATTACCATAAACTGTTAAAAGGGTTAAATTTCCATTTACTGCTTGCAACCCTTTTCCTAAAACTCAGCCTTAAATAGCCCAAGAAATATTTATTGTATCCTCAAGTGAAACTTAAATACCTTTCCTCTTTTACAACTTCTGAATGACCCAGCAAGGGCTCTAGTAAAGCTTTACTGAACCAAGCTGCTAATAGTTATTTAATGTTGTTCTGTAGCCTGAAAGAATCTCAGTAGATTTTTCCTTTTAATCTCTTTGAATTGCAGGCTCATAAACCTCTCTGATGAGCCTGCCAGTGTTTTCTTAGATCCTGCAGTTGAGACAATGGAGCTGCAGAATCCTTTCACTTCTTGTTGTCAGACAAATCCAATAGATGGCAAAGCCAGGCAGGCTGGACTTCTTGGGAATTAAAATTTGGGTTTGAAGTTATGGGAGATGATGGGGTCCTCACAGTTTTCCTGACGTGTACAGCTTGGTATGTGGAGTTCTGTGGTTTGAGTAGCCACCACAAGTGAGCAAGCCTGCCCCAGAGCTCTGGAACAATACCCATCTTAACCTCCTCCTCCAGCAAGGAAGGGAAAATCAGACACAGATTTACTTCAGAGAAGCACTAACGAGGAACTCATGGCTATAATAATAATGATGTAGATGAAATAAGGACAAGCACAAGAAATATTAGAGTCACTACCACGCTCCGTGTTGGCCATTAGGCTTGTAGTTCTGCTTGTAACCTCCCTGAGCTCGTACTGGGCTTTGCCTCTGTTTTTCAGTAAGTGGCTAAATTGGTTTCTTGTCTCTTAAGGTATATTATATGGACTGCCCAGGGAGGTGGTGGAGTCACCATCCCTGGAGGTATTTAAGAAACGTGTAGACATGGCTCTTCAGGGCATGCTCTAGTGCCCAAGATTATTGGTTTGTGGTGGGATGTTGTGTGGGTGGGTGATGGTTTTGGTTTGGTTGTTGTTGTGTGTTTAGGTGGTGGGTGGGTGGGGTTTTTGTTTGTTTTTTGTTTGGGTTTGTTTTTTTTTTTTGTGGTTGGACTCGATCTCTGAGGTCCCTTCCAACCACTACGATTCTGTGATTCTGTGATATTGGGTAGTGTATTTAATAGGAGAACTAGAATTTAAAAAATGGCTTTTTGAGCTCCAGAAAATAAGTTTTTCCTGCTTGAACCAGCTAAGCAAGTAAATGCAGCATACAAAAGGGATTAAAAGGAGCGGTTACTGGATTATGTGCTGTTTGCAGACTTCCTCAAGTCAAGTACTAATTGAAAATTTACATCTTTTGAGACAACCAGCAAGACTTTCAGATTTGAGCATCGGATTAGGAATAATGATCTCTGTTCAGGCTGGGAAGTGTATGAGTGATTAATTTTGCCTGTTGATTATTTTTTTTTTTAATTGTTGTTTATTTTTAAAATGACAATTGCAGTACTGAATTAGAAAAGCTTGGTTGAAATTCTGTTCCTGGGCTTTGTCCTGTGCTGTGTGTGGAATAGAAGAGAAGGTAGACTTTCTCAGCCGCTGCCTTCCTGAGTCACTTCACTTGAAGCATGGTAACCTCAGGAATTCACATCTCCCCAGTTCTTTGCGTGGTGGCACATGGTCCTTCTGCCCTTTTTTTGTGTTTTCTGCCAGCAAGAGGTGACCCAGCCCCCACCCCCCATCCTACAAAACTTGTTCTGAGTTAAACCCCACTTTGTGAATTCCAACTAGGAAAGCCTGTTTCTCTTAACTCATTTTTTGCTACCTACACATGAAGCTTAGGAAAATGTGTCCTTCCTACAACCTAAGAGACCATTTTCCTTTGTGAATTTTTCTTCCAAGTATTAAAAGAAACAGGTGAAATAGGAAGCACTGGCTTTTTTCACACTGTTCTCACAGTTGCAGTATTGTCATCTTCCACCCCAGTGGAGAGAGGAACCTGAAGGTATGTAGGTAGCTGGACAGATTTCATTTTGATCTCTGCTTTTTTTCTTTCTCAAGAAAGAGGAGGAGGAATCTTTACCTCACAGGAGGCCTCTCTGAGTGGTTTTGTGGGTGTTCTCAGGACATTCACTATTCCCCTTCTCATGTTTTGTAGCTGGAAGGCTGTACCAGTCTAACCCCAAGTAACATTGGAGTTATTTGCATGAGTTAAGACCATCTTCCCTTTTATTTTATTTTGGAAATTTCATGCAGTTAGCTAATGTTCTGAGCAGGTGGTATGAAAAATGTGACTGTGTTTCATAACTAAAACATTACCCATAGGTGTTGTTTATGTAATTGAGAGTGTGCACAACAAAGAGAGTGACTGATTGACAGGTATATCTTCCAGTTGTCTTTCATCTTTACACTCTTGCTGATTATGTTTTTTTCCCCTTTCTTTGACAGCAGTAAAGCATTAAGTGTGAGTGGGTTAATTTTCTTTTAATTCTGACCTTTTCATTACAGAATAGGTGTACATCAAAGAGGCTGTATTGATTCTATCATTATTTCCAGTGTGTCTGATTTGTTTTAATTCAGCAAAGGTAACATCAAAGAGGCTGTATTGATTCTATGATTATTTCCAGTGTGTCTGATTTGTTTTAATCTCCTTCATTAAAACTAATTTAGATGAAGCTCATTCTCAAGGATATAGAACGCACCTTTCTGTTAAAAATTAGAATATCATTTAGTTGCAAAATAAAGACCGGGACATAATATTTGGTTGGTTTGTTTTTTTTTTTAAACTGGCCTTAAATGATCAATTTAAAAACCCAAAATGTAAGTATTAACTTTTCTCTTTTTTTCCCCTAATTATACATAAGGATAGTTAAAATGCAAGGTGTTCATTTCATGACTGGTACATTACATTAGTACTTATATCTATGATATTACACTTTTAAAATTGCTAAAAGCTATGAAAGGGAAACAATTTTAAAAAATAATTTAAACAGCAAAAGAGCCCCAGAAAACCAACGAAACAGATTGGTTAGATTTTATAGTTAATTCAGATAATTAACTACAGAGATAGCTGTGATTAGCTATTGCTAGGATTATACTTTCATAGTAGCCTTAAATTGCTTTGCAACAACTTACACTGTTTTGTCCTAAGGTAGGAAGCTTTCTTGGGACAGTTAATGTGTGAAATCAACCAAGAGAATATTGATGTGTGTCTGTTCTGAGCCACTACTTCATGGTTCAAGCCCAACTTCTGAAGAGTAAGGTGGTTGCAATCGGAGGAGCGATGTTTGGTGACAAAAAGGGAAATACTCCATTATCTGATGGGATACAGGTTGGAGTTGTGCAGTTTTTGTGGGGTGGTGTTGGAGCAGGTAGCTGTGAAATCCCTTGTCTCTACATCTCAGTCCAGAGCAAAGAGCAGTTATGTAGAAGCAGCTGGGAACCATTTAGAAAACCTCACAATCTAGTGATTGGGTAGGGAAATCTCTTGGGAATTAAAATAACATAAAATAATCTGGGTCTCTGACTTTTCTGCAAGTGCTTAGTAAGTAGTTCTGGAAGAAGAAATTCTTTCAGTGCCAACTTTTCATAGAAAGCTGTAGACAACACTGTCTGCTCTAGAAAGCTTGATGTTATTCAACTATAAAAGTTGTTTAAAAACTCACCGAGAGAAGGAACACCTACTCTCTCAATAACAACCTGATTTAAACCTTAAACAAGCACTAAGCTCCCGAGCCTTGCCAAACCTAAGGCATTTCTGTGTATGTGCTAACGATCAGCTTTCAGGCATTTCTGGTTCTTTAAAACAGCATCTGGAGAGTTGGAGCTTCCAGGTGTCAGGCAGCAGCTGGAAGCTTTTGTGTAATAAGTTGCGAGGGGTTATGTGCTTTTTTTTTTTTCCTTTTAATATTACCTTTTATGGCTTCACTTGTCACTCTGTTGGCAAAATCTTACATTGTCACGATAAGGAACTTGGTGTGAACTTGGTACATCAGATATGAGCGTGCTATTGCACAGTTTGCATTGGATAATTTCAGTTTATTGAACACTTCTCATTTCATGCTGCACGTGATGCTGGAAGAACCCAGGGGATCAAATGGCAGCAGATCTCACGGGTGCAGACCAGAACTGACCACCTCTCTGTGCTGAGACACTCGTCATCATAGAAGATGACTTGTAGTCTTCCCCTAAAAGTGTTTTTCATTGATCTATTGTTAGGAATATCTTTTTGCAGGAATCTTGGTGTTCTTCTGGCACACCACCCTAACGTTTACTTGGTGCTTATTGGGAGGGAGTTATTTGGCATCTCCTGTCCATGGGAGAATGGGTTGCCTAAGAGATATTGTGGGGTCTCCATCTGTGGAGAGATTGTAAAATCCAGCCTGCTGCAGCTGACCCTGCTCGTGCAGGAGGGTTTCATTAGGTGATCTTGAGACGTCCCTTCTGACCCTTCCGTGATTTTGGGAAAAGCACAGGTAAGCTGACAATTGACAATTTCAGCTTGTGGAAGTGTAGTTACAGCCAGGCTTTGAAAAGGGATTTATATTAAAACAAAAGTTGGCCCCTAATGCGCAAAAGTACTGGTTTCAGTAGTGTCTTAATTTCAGTAATACATCTTCACCATTTACTTCTCCTGGCTACAGTAGGATATTTTCTAAATTAACTAAAATTTTAGAGAACTGCATTTTTAACTGATGAGGTGGTGTAGGTATGAGACTCTGTAGTGGGGACCAGACTAACTGCTAGGCATATAAAACTATTAATTTATCAGGAAGAAATAAGGACCTGTGTGTTATCAGGGTTGAACATCTGTCATGTTTTCTTTATAGAAGATAATCTGACAAAAGAATGGCCACTACACGCACAAATATGTCTTGAGGATATGTCCTGGAATGAAGGTATGAGTGCCCTACCACTTGTTCCCAGAGCCTTTCGTTGTCACTGCAAATGTTTTCTATCTTTTCTGCATCTTATACCATGATGTATGTCTTACATCATTATGTTGTCTTATTGTAAGTTCTTATTTTTTTGTATTTGCCTCAGATTTGGCTGTTCTGTTCTCTGTAATTACCTGCATTGGAACTTAACTTTCTGTGATGTTTATTTTGCATTCCTTCTTCATCTCTTCCCACCCCACCTCCTTGCCCCAGCTTGTGGTACCACTTCTCATCTCGCTCTCTCCTGGTTGTGTAACTGAGTGTTTAGATTTCCAGAGTCTTCCCTAATGTCTTGTGCATCTTCTTGTTCTTTCTCTGATGGTAGAATGCAAGGGTTTTCCTACAGACTTTTTTTTCATCTGACTGTTACTTCCCTCCTTTATATTATGTCCCTCTAGCTTTATTTATACCCTATATATACACTATAGTATATAAGTATATATATATTTTACATATATTATATATAAGTATATTACATATGACATATTATATATACTTCCCTCTAGCTTTTGTCATTTACCTGCTTTTTGAATTGAATGGCTGATTTTTTTCCCATTTTTTTGAAGGAGGAAATCCTATCTACTTTCCTTTCTTCTGTTCTATTTTTATTTCCTGGGTTAATTTCTTTTGGAACCATCCTTGATCTGCCCGACGGATGACTAACACCCCTCAGTTTTTTCTTTTAATATCTGTCTCTTTCACTGATGTGCACCTTCTTATTATTTGCCTTTTTTTAAAGAGACTACACTGACCCTGGCTGTTTGGTGTAAGAATGCCTCACAGGCATGGAAAGATTTTAAGACTATAGTTATTTTTTGGGCAACAAATGGTAGCACAGGTACTGACATTTACAGTCCAGCAGCGGGAGGTCATTTGTTATTAAAAACAGCTTTGTGAAGAAAATCCAGAATAAATTCTTGATTCTTCTCAAGCACTAAAGGCTTTTTTGTTTTCTTTTTTGGCAGATGAACAATGTTACACTCTTTCATGTCGCTGTGGTGGGAATTACACTATCTTCAAGAGTGAAACCAAAGACGTATCTTTGGTTTGTTGTGACACATGTTCACTCGTCATCGAGATCCTTCAATGATTGTTTCAATCAAGGACATTAAGAGTTACAAACTTAAAAAGACTGGACAAACAGGGGACAGCAACTTGCTAAAGAAATGTATGTTAAAGAAAAGGGGGCACTACAAGAACAAGTTCAGTCAGGCTTAAGAACGGAAATGTGCCCATTTGCTCACAGAGCTCTGCGGACATCAGCCTTGGTTTTTTAACTTCTGCAGCTAAAGGGCTCGTTATTAAAATCCTCCCCAAGAGAACACTAAGTTCTCTACAACTGGAATACAGCTCATGAGCTAAATGAAATTTCTTTCCCAGCAAACAACGGAGTATCTCAGTCTATATCAACTATACCTTGGGCCCTACCTCTGAGGTTAAATCCTTTTAACAGCTCAGATGACAAAATTTAATCAGGAGGCATATACCTGAGAATGCTTTGAAGATAATAAAGAGCAAGGTGCGTTAATGGGAAACAGGAACATTTTCAATTTCTGTGCTAAATATTTAACTTCATTAAATCCTCACAAGGACTTGAGCCTTGGAAAAAGGTGGCAGAGACTTGCAGATCTCTCAGGCTCGTTGTCTCGGTCCGAAGTAGCAGGTAACTGGAACAGTGCATCTATGTTAACTATCCAGCTTGGAGAGTTTTTTTCATAGAACCATAGAATGGTTTGGGTTGGAAGGGACCTCAAAGATCATCTAGTTCCAACGCCCCTGCCATGGGCAGGGACACTTCCCACCAGACCAGGTTGCTCAAAGCCCCATCCAGCCTGGCCTTGAACCCCTCCAGGGATGGGGCAGCCACAGCTTCTCTGGGCAACCTGTGCCAGTGTCTCACCACCCTCATAGTAAAAAATTGACTCTCTCCATCATCTGAATAAACAGTGTCTTCATCCTTAGATGAAAAGTAACTGGGAAGCTGTGCTCTGGGCCCTACTGGGCGTACAGTCCACCAGGCCAAACTGGAGCCAGTTTAAGGAAAACCCTACAAAAACAGATATAAGTGACTAGCAGATCCAGAACCCCACTGGTGGTGTTCTCAGTTCCAATCTTAGCATGCCACATTACCTGCTAAAGGAGGCACAGCCTATGTGTGGCTCTGGATGTGTGACAATGACAATGTAATAGTGCATTGTGCCTTTTTCATCCCTTGTTAACAGTCACTGCCAACCTTGGCTTGTAGTAAAAACCCAAACTTTCTAATAAATCCAAGCACTTAGCGCAAATAGCCAGAGGAAACAGAGTAAGAGCCAGATCATTTGTGTTGATGGCAGCAGTGTATCATTCCCACTTTCAAGTTAGATGTAATCTCAGAAAGAGACATCTTTGTCAAGTAATACTTGTGTTTATTCTAAACAAAAATAGTTCCATTGATTTTAGTAGAAAATACTATGAAAGCTGGCCATAGTCACTTAAATCTTTCAATCATCAAGAAATCTATGGCCATTGGGACTTGCACGTAGAAATCCGAAGTCATTCAGAGGCCAGATCTGTAAAATAAAATACAGTTACAAGAGATTTTAATCACAACTCAAAGTTCAGTATTTTAATTTGTTATAACCTGCACCATTTTTTAGCTCTTTGGTTGACAGGATATATGAACTTTTCTCACCTGTGTGTTTGTTTTACCAGGAGTAATAAATACTATATATCAGGAGGAATCATCATTCCATAGTGGCTGGAGACAACACTAATTTATACACAGCGTGCTTTGCTATGGCGAGCCTCACAAATTAGGGGGGGTGGGGTGGTGTGTCCAGCCTTGGAAATAAATAATTCCTAGGAAATATCTTTTAAATTCAAAGTTTTCCAGCTTGTAAACCTCTTAAGAACTTACAAGACAAAGTATATATTTTTGATCCGTCTAGGAGAAGAAAGAATACCATGGACATTATCTCCCAGTGCAAGTAGTTCTGTGAGGTGACCATTTGTATTTCCAAGATGGACATTTGAATGGCAAACGCCAAACATTGGAAAAAAATTTCCTCAGGCTTATAGGTAAGCTTATACCATGCAAAGAGGTATAAGGGGGTGGAGCACCTGCCACCAGCAGGGCTCTCAACCAAGGGGCTCCTCTGAGAAGGGGACTACCATGTAGAAAAAGAAGGAGCACAAATCACAACCAAGTAGAAGCACAAGTGTCACAGAACAATGCTCACCAGTAAGAAAAAACTTTCTCCCCAGAAATTAACTATCTAGCTGCTCATACTGCTGAGTGATCCCAGGAGTACTTTCCTCTGAACATTCACTAATTACATGTAGGCTGGTCTGGGATGGAAAAAAAAGTTGCAGGGAATCAAGGGCATTCTTTTACGCTTTGTCCTTTGTCTCCCTTGACTGCCTGTGTCTCCTCAGCACACGTTATTTCAAGGACGGCACAAGGGGATCAGCAGGAAGAAGGGAATGAGATGATGTTGAAGAAGGAATGCCCTTTGTGGCTCTCATCCCATAAAAATCTCACAGCCTCTGCTCAAGATGAAGTGACCTAAACAGAGAGAGATGATGCTCTACCTTGTTCCCAAAGCATCTGTCAGTACAATGTTTATCTTGCTCATTTTTCTTAAGAATTTGATCTTAAGTAAAGTATGCATTCACCTTCCAGGAACAGCAACTTACTCCTTAACTGAATTCCTGGAACACCCACAGCACAGGAGGAGCTTTTGGTGCTTTCTGCGTGGAGTGCAAAAGTAATTTGCTGAGTTTACAAGAGGAAGCACAGTGCCAAGGTTCAATATTTGAAACCCCATGACTTATCCCCAGCACCAAAGACAACGTCAGAAGAGGCAGAGGCAGTTAAGGATGGACATAGCATCAACTTGCTACTAGAGTAATGCACTTCCAGCATGTGCTGCCAGGCACTCTCTAGACTTGCCTCTCCCAGGCCCCTTGGGGCTCTGGGCTAAATTGCCATCAGCTGGACTGTGCCTGGGCCCTCTGGAGGACAGGAGATGAGTCATTTCCAGGACCTCAAGTTCTGAGGATGTAAAAAAAGCTTAAAGCTCTCTTGTGCAAGTATCTTAGAAAATATGTGTCTTTTGGGGGGGATGAGCAGTTAGGAGCATGAGGAACATCTGCTGATATACAGAAATACACAGAAATAATATGCATATTAGCCAGTGAGCTATTTAAAGATCCACACAAATACACAGTGATACGAACCAATAACAGAAGGGTGTTTGTGATCTTGGTTCGAAGCAAAGCTACGGCACTGAAGGCTCTCCTGAGGGCCCGTGCTGGCTGCAGGCTGGGTGACAACTCTTTGTTTGGCCTTGAAGGCAAACGGGAGTAAAAGGGAACAGGAATATCCCACGTTATAAATCTAAGCTGATCTGAGTAAAGGCCCAGAGAAGGAAGTATCTTAAGCCATTCGCTACGGCACAAATCTCTTTTCAGGCAACTCAAATCACACCTATTGCAACTTGACTTTCTTTCAGTGAACGTAATCAAATTTGTTTTAAATATTGTTTTGATAACTCAGTTTCATCACAGTAATCTTAGAAGTAAGAGTTAGAATAAAAATGATGTTTTATCCAGTCTGTGTGCAGGAGAGAACGTGAGAAACAATATTCATGGTTGGAAAGATGATGGAACAAGCCTTCTCCGTGAAACAAAGACCTGCCACTGCGTGTAGTAATTCCCAAGTCTTTTAAAGTTATGACAGAAGTTGACTGTGACTTGTTGGTTCAAACTGGCTAGTCCAATTAGCAGCTATTTCCCCTTGCCCTCTTTGGTTTGGCCTACATAGATTTGATCTGATGGACGGGGGATAAATGGGGCTAACTAGCTCTTTTGAAGATAGAGCACAGGTCTATTTTTGGCGTGGAGCCTAAGCCCAGGGAATGCACAGGATATCCTGCCTAGGACAGGATGAAGCATGAGTTCTGTCAAAGTGGGACTCCCAGGCTTTTACTGAATTTTCAGCTACTTTGATTTCAGTGGCCTTTTTAAGGAATGAACTTGTCTTTCAGAGCGGCAGCGGATATGCTGGCAGGGAGGAAAAGGGGCAAATAAAATTACATATCATTTCTGCATTAAGGTTAAAAACTGGTGCAGCAACACTGACTGAGACTCTGAAGTCTTAACTTCACTGATAAGCTACAGAGAGAATTAACATTTATGTTTTGCCAAGAATAAGTTGCCTAAACAAGCTTGGTGCAAGCTCTCTCCTGTTGAAATCCATTGCTTCTAATTAGATTATTTTGCATCTACTACTAAAAATGTAACTTGGCATTCAAAGGCACTGCTACATCTGCTTCTCCACAATCCTCTTTAAGCTTCCATTCTCACAGAAGTAAAAGATTCTTCATGAGAAAGAAGCCAAAACTCTACCAGACCACGTTAAAAAGCATATATAGGCTTCTTGGCCAGTGATCTACTAATTAGCTACCACCATGCAGACTAGCTGTATTCTGCTGCCTTTCACTGTAACGTTCAATAGCAACATACAATAGCAAGATCACTGCATTCTAATGTGAATTACCATAAACAGCCCAAACTATAAACACTCATTTGAAGAATAAACTCATTTTTGCTTTTGTTAGGCACCATATACTTAAATCTCATTAAAGTGTTAATAATCACTCCCCCATGCACCATCATAAAACAACTGCTATAAAATTTAGTTAAATCATTATTTTGATTAAGTATCAAGTGATTGCATACTGTCTTTTTAAACAGACAATATTCTGGAGTCCTAAAGTGCTACTTCAGTATGTAATGTCTGTGTGTAAGTTCCATTCATTTTACAGAGTTTACTGCTTGCCAAATTTAGGGTTCAGTCCTGGCAGGCACTTCATTAAAGTCTCTCAAACATCTTTCTTGTTGTGGTACAAGCTGGACACAAATTTATTGCTGGGGAGAAATACTGGGAATAATTATGGCTGTCCACATACATAGATTATTTGCTATCAGTGCCCTTAAAGTAGTAAACAGCAGTTTTTCTGTATTAGTACATCAGTTGGTGAAATACTTTTTTCAGTTGAATTATTAATGCCACATTCTTACTAAGAGGCCTGTCAGCATATTAGCATCATTCTGTTTCAGCAGTTAATAATCCCAGCTAAAACTTGGGTCATAAAAATAGCCCTATTTCGAATCAGCATTTTTTCCTCTGGTGTGCATGGCAGGGCAAACAATAGAGGGAAGGAAGGGAGGGCACTCCATAAACACTGGGGAAGAACTCGCAGCAAATGCTACCCAGAAAGAGGAGAGGTCAGGCACAACGCGGTGCTGGGGCTGAGGGGGACATGTTAGTTGAGGTTTGGGAAGCAATTAGTGATTACGGCCAATAGCTGCAAGGTTTTTTTTGAAAAGTCCTAAGCTGTGTTCATAAAAACTGTAAATTAAATATATAAAACTTTGTTAAATTGGAAAGATCTGATCCTCCCCGTGTGTGTACTACAGCTGTGCTAAATTATGGTTTTGTGGATGTGTTGCAATGTATGGAGAACAGTTTTTATTGTTCTGAATGGCAGCATTTTAAATCTAGCTTCATAAAAGCTGGTGCATAAGTCTATAATAAATACATATTCCCTTTTTTCTAAGATTAAACTTTTTATGGAGAGGAAATTGTCTTAATTTCTTCTTTTTGGTAAATGAGTAAATTAATAATGCAGATAATATGAAAAAGTAATTTAGTGTGAAATAAAGCTGTAGAATTGTTGAAGCAGAAGGAGAAGGAATCGTGGAGGTTTATACAATACAATATTAATTCAAAGCATTTTTTTTTTTTAGTAAGAACGTGGCGGACAATTATAGTGGCCCAGATTTGACTTTACTGTCAAGGCTTTTTCTCAGACTTGGTTTAAAAAGCAGCAAGGCCAGTCTACACGTCTAAAGAATGCATGCAAGTCCTAAAAAGATAATGGTTTCCTTCATCTTTGTTTTTTGAACTATGGAACTCCACTTCCCAAATTACAGTAACAGTGAGATTTGGAGCTGCCCTTGTCTGCTGTTTTGCAGAGGCAAGAATCAAATGGGGGAGGAAATGTATATCCATAGAGTAAGGTGCATGCGTGCTGCATGCAGGTGTAGATTTATGTTTGTATCAGGCTTGGGTTTGCTTGCAAAATAATTGATTCAGTTTCCAAAGGCAATGACTGGTCAAAAAACAAGTCCTCCCTCAAAAAAAACTCCACCATTGTTGAATTGTCCTTTTACAGCAAGTGGCTGGTGTGTTCCATAAAGCTTTCCTTTATGTTTGCTCCAGCCAGACAGTTGAGGAGGCAAGTTTTAATACCTAACACCCAGGCATTAAAAATATATTAATGCAACTATTTTTAAATACTATATATACCTTAAAACAAATGCGTCCTCTTATCAGTCCGTACGGAACAGGTCCATAGCACCTGGAATCTGTAGAATTCCTGAGATTATCACCTTCTAACCAAACATGTCCTTTAGGCACCTATGATTAAGCAAGATCGAAATGTTAAAAAAAAAAAAAACAGAATAGAATGGTATTAAGCACAGTTTGCCTTACAATATATCTTGATTTCTGTGTTCTGTATTTCATGACTGCATAATGAACTAATTTTTTTTATTGAATCTAGTAAGACACAGGGCCAGATTTGGAGGGATGAGAAGGAGTGCTCCAAAGTATCTGTTCTATCATGTGCTCAAAAAACAATGGTTTGCAACAAAAAATCCAAAATGAAGATGTAAGAGGTTAGACCAATGTGACAGGGTCATTAATTTAATAGACTTCAAAAGAGGTCATTAGGATGTTGACTGAAAATCTGCCCTCCTGTCGCAGTAACAGCATGAACAGGGCAGCCACACACTCATCAACATCCTGGGGCCAGCACCAAGGCTAGACCTGTTAGTAGATTCATGATGAACTAACTGGTAATTGATTGTGACATCAATTACGAATAATCTCATCATTTTATCGGAGTAGGCTTGTCAAAGTTCTAATTAAGATCACAGTTCATTCTATGTGCAGGCAGAATCCACAACACATTATATTGCAATAATGATGATCACAAAACAGCAAATCCCTTTTTATAATTTGAAAATTAATGATGGTGACCTTATACTATATGACAAAGACATTTCATTGCCTATATATATTATGCATTAACTATATTACATACCATAGATTCATGGCATTCACTGCCTGACTCAATGACAAAAAGAGAAATAGCAACATAGCTGTATTAATTACCTAAATACGAGCATAAAGCTTTCATATATGAAAAAGTTACTACTGTAAGTCTTAAACTAAGATTTCCTCTTGGAATATACAACAGTATTTTGGTATGTTTCTATAAAAACATTTCAGATATAAATAACATCTTACAAGTTGCCAAATAAGTTGGCTGGAAATTTAAAAGTAGCAACATATTCTCAATCTAGATAATATTTAATGTGGACTTTAGGTTAACATACATTTTTTCAGAATCAAATATGTACTTGAAACATTACTACGCCCACAACTCAGAGGAAAAAAAAAAAGGAAACAAATAAAACGCCACCAATTTCAAATGAAACTTAGAGTTTTATAAAACCCCACCAATTTCAAATGAAACTTAGAGTTTTAGCAGTATAAACATTAATGTTTTAGAAATAAGCCACATAGACTCATAAATACAATAGTCTACATATATTCAATGATAATAGACTAAACAAAATAAAATACCACTACTCATAAATACAATAGACTACATATATTCAAGGATAATAGACTAAACAAAATAAAATACCACTCTAGTAGTAAAGTCTGGGTGTAAACCATTCAGAATAAAACCTGGTCCCCCAGATAAACATTTGAGGGAAATGCAGCTGAAGTGTAATTGTTGGTACTTAACAGGATCTGGCCAAGGAACACTTATTGGGAACCTTGTCTCTGAATAAGGCTTTTAGACTCTTGCTTAGTGATGCTCCCACCTGCCTGTTGCCAGAGGGTTCCTTTGTTGGGCTGTGGCAAACGTATAAGCTCTGCATTAAGAACCAATAGTTTGTCTCTGATGGTGGCAAAGAGAGGTATTTCCCATGGAAAGCATATTTGAGCCTGTCCTCCCAACCACCCCCTGTATTTCTCTGGTAATTTGTATTTCACACATTCCTGTCTGGCATTTTAGAATACCATGGCAAGCGTATGTGAGCCTGTCCTCCCAACCATCCCCCTGTATTTCTCTGGTAGTTTGTGTTTCACACATTCCTGTCTGGCATTTTAGAATTTGTCTCTGATGGTGGCAAAGAGAGGTATTTCCCATGGAAAGCATATTTGAGCCTGTCCTCCCAACCACCCCCTGTATTTCTCTGGTAATTTGTATTTCACACATTCCTGTCTGGCATTTTAGAATCTGTATGTGGAGTTGCAGACCAGCAATGTGTCTAAACCTTTTTGAAACCTACTGATACTCTCTCCTTCCAGTCTCCTGTATAAAGGAATGCTGCTGCCTTTGTTTTAAACTGATCTGCTACTCCTTTAGTTCTTGTTCTCCCAGTCCTTCAATACAGGAATTCCATACTCAGCTCCTCTGCCACCTTTGTTATTTGATAAGGCTTATCAGATTGCTGGCACGGGCATGGAAGAGCTCTTGGTTTCAGCTAGATGTCTTTGGCCCTCCTTCTACCCAACAGCTTTGCAAAGAAAATAACCAACCAACCAGAAGTCAATTTAAAATAGTTTTGTTTAAAAAATTCTATTTAGAGTCAAATGACCTGTGTGGAATATACATCTCATCACATCTAGACACAAAGTTTTGAAAGGTCTCTGTTTGAGAATAATAATTTTGTTTAACAAGTTCTATCTAGAGTCAAATGACCTGTGTGGAATATACATCTCATCACATCTAGACACAAAGTTTTGAAAGGTCTCTGTTTGAGAATGTACTGACAGTCCTGTTTTCCTCAAAAACTCTGTGGAATACAGCCTGTCTAGACACAAAGTTTTGACAGGTCTCTGAGAATGTACTGACAGTCCTATTTTCCTCAAAAACTCTGTGGAATACAGCCTATTTGGTATGTCCACCAGCAATTGTCAGTTTGGTTGGATGTTCATCTCACCTAAAGCATTCCCATCTTACAGGAGTTTATTTTTCAGGTGCATATTACCATGCAAAGCAGCGTTCTCACCTTTCTGATGCAAACTCTCCTGGCCAGCATCTACCAGCCTAACAAATCCCACACCAAACTACCATCATTTTGAAAGACTGTCTCAGCAAATACACAAAAAGGAGAAGCAGGAATTACTATGAAAGGTAGATTTTTAAAAATGAAATAAAAAAGCAAACCCACACTAACATTTCACATTTCTGAAAAGGCATCACTTCTTGCAATGTGCTGCTGTTTGCACACAGGGACACTACCAGCTCCCCTTCCACTTCACTGCCTCCCGTGCTGTCTCCTATTTCCCTGCTTCACAGGCAGAACGTGAAGCTCATCTCTCACTATGTGCAGTAAGGACCCACTCATAACACAGCTGTATCCCAACACTTCTAGACCTTCCCGTCTCTCTTCCACGCTCCTGAAGTATAAAAAACAAAATAAAGTGCTTTTGCCAGCTGTGGCGTATCACTTACTACTTCTAACACCACTAATAATTACTTGTCTAGACAAGATGTTCATAGTTTGCTTTCCAGATAGAACATTTGCAAGGAAGGATATTCCTGTATCGCGACATTCACCACTTGGGGTAAGTTTTGTAGTTCTCCATAGAAGGTACGACAGGACCCTCTACCTCTAAATTTGTTCTTAAGAGTACTGTCACAAAGTGTGATTCGTCTAGAGATGATACAGTGTAATACCTTTGTATGGTGCCTGCCCGTCATCCAGGCACTTCACTACAACCTAGAATTAAGACAAGCAATAAAAAGCGCATGAATTGCCTGAAAATGTAAAACCAAATACAAGTGACAGGCCATAATCATTAATTTTAAAAAAAATGATGTTGCTTGCACCCCTTTGAAATAAAGGCTAAAGCCAGAATCCTTCAAGAGTTGATGCACCAAGCTATTTCTAGACCACAGCACTGATTTCGGGGGGATTGCTCACATATTGAATAAAGTTAACTTTGAGCATCAACCTTTGCAGAACCAGGACCTGATCTGAAACGACTCAAGGCTATGCAAGGACAGTAGCTGGGAATAAGATACATTTTTCACGAAAGAAAAAAAAAATAACTACTAAAAACCTGTATTTGTAGTAATAATACATTAATTGCATACAGATAGGCTGCTACTGCCAAAAATCCCAAGGCAATGGGAAAGCCGCTCGCTTGACATTTCACAACGTTGTATTTTGGTATCTAGAGGCCAGGGACCACGGATCTCTGAGACAAAGCTAATTGTATCCTAGAAGTACAACTGAAATCAGTTGCCATTACTACACAGCAAGATTGTGCACACAAAAAATATTGACAAAAACATTTAAGTCAGGCTGGGCAGCATTTCCCTTCTCCCCTACATACAGACTGACACTCACGTGTGAATGTCCCACCAGCCCAACTGCTGAATTTTCACAGAAGTCACCAGTGGGTCACGTGCCAAACCAACAGCTCCGCAGCAGGGCAGGTTCACACGAAAACACGCTGCCTCTGATCATCCACAGATGACTCTCTTTGC